GGAGAGAGGCACGCTTGGAGTCTATGATACATTTGAGTGAGTATTGCATTTTTCCTATAAGAATTTGTACTTACTGACGAGCTTTGAAATAATGCATATTGTCATCCGGAAAACACAGTCTCTTCAGTGAAGTTTGAGATAAGCTGTGGTTGATTGATTGCAAACACTGGAATTTTAAGTGCTTTTGCGTGTTCACTCCTCAGCTTTAAACCAGCAGACCGTTTCACGCTCTCGGTACTGCGCACAAACTAAAGCCGCTTTATCAACTGTGTAGTCTAGAGGCGGCCACAATGGGAGCTTGTCAGTCCTTTTCGATTATCTGGCCGAGAAAAATGGGATGTTTTTAGTTTTGTCAGTTTGAGTTAGAGTGGACAAGATGTGGATTCATAAAGTGGATGACAGACCGCACTAGGTTTATTGTTTGTGAGAGATACTGTAGGCCTATCCAGCAGAAGTTACTCAGTTAAATAAATAGAAGAACGTAATTTCACTTCCTCTTTAGATATCAGACACCTTAAATGGTAGTGTTATAGATCTCTACGAAGATTAAGGCGGATGGTTTGATCAGAATAATATGAAGTCGTCACTGTTTGAAATCGCATTTGAACCGAAAAGTAACAGCAGAAATGTAGCCCAGAGGTTATTTGAAGAATAAATAACAGACTGAGACCGAAAAGGCCAAGTCTTGGTAATGCGCCATTTCCAATACACCTAGTGTTGTAGGGATGACAACTGGCAGTGTCGCCAAAGATGTAAAGAATCGAACGCCGTGTAATGGCTGGTGGAACCACGACACTTTCGTAGAACAGCAATTGTTCCGCGGAAATACACATGGTGAACTGTCCGTCACCCATTGTTGTAATGTCCACGGAACGATCTCACCTGCGTCCCCAATTTTACGGTGGGTTTAGTAGTGTCCCCGTCTAATGCGACCCTTTGGAATCCCCAAGGAAGGACACAATAAGAAGGGCGTAACTTTGGAATCCACCCGGAGGAGGATTTATTGTGTACAAAACCCAGCGTTGCTTTCTCGGGTGGCAGTTGCCACTGGTTAATCTCCAGCTTGGGGACGGACTTGCGGTGTCCTCGCGGTCCGGGTGCAACTCGCTGTCTGAAATGTGACGGTGGCTT